AGAGAGAGGGTCAAACAGTCACAAAATGGAGGCAGTGCTTATTGTTACTCTGAAGTGTAATGTGAAGCTGGGAGGTGAGTGTGGAGCTCTTTAAGCCGCCAGAGAACAGAGTCAGGGAGGAAGTGGGTCTCCAGCGCCTCTCTCTCCTGCTCCCCTGGTGACGAGACCCACACCCTGGGAGACGGCAGCTCTGACAGCTCCTCCAAGGCTCCACAAAGCAGTGCTATGAAAGTAAATGTGCTCCCTGTCGGCGCGACTCCAAAGGGAAGGGAACAGTAAAGTAGGCTACATCCTCTTTTCAGGCTATTGGTTGATGTTCGGCATTCAATTAGACATCATTAAAATTCCACTTCTTGTTGAAGCGTTACACAGACGGAAAATGAAGTCACAAAAGATGTCTAATTGTGCCAGGAACAGAAGACGGTCATCCAATCAGAACGCTTAATGATAAGAAAAGCTTCTCAAAAACAGATAAAAGCACTTGAGGAACTTTGTGAACATGCCTGCGGTGTCTCAGGTGAGGCTATTCACAAAGAAATACAGCTCCTAATAAAACGAGTTCGCCTCCCAGGGACGCCCCTATTACTATTTACACTTTGCTGCCACTGCAATACCTTTTGTATAGTCGCAGTAGGTTCCATAATGCGAACAGGTTGAGGAGCTGGTACATCGGTGTGCATGAGGGCCATTCTCCATCTGTGGTGGAGAGGGGAGATGAGGGGAGAGAAGAGAAGATGAAGTAATGAGAAGGGACTCGGCATAGAAAACTACACAGCTGCATTTTATCTTTGAGGAGAGGTCCTTCTGAGAGAGAGAGTAAAAGAGATGGACTGCATGAAGTGTGCTTATAGTCAGACACTTGTTTTGAGAGGGGTTATATTCACACTGACGTCTGTCTGCAGTGATCCTAATCAGACTTCAGATCTCTGCTCGGTATTCAACAAGGGACTCGCTTTCATTGTGTTCCATTTAGCGAGACTTTAGACCGTAATGTAACGTATTGATTTATATTCTCTGCTGCAGCTCTTACAGTGAACACCAGGGGAGTATTTACGTGAAGTTAAGATTACCATATATATAGTATATGTCCAATATATATGGCATTATGATGTGTTGAGTTTAAAGAGTAGAATCTCTGCTGTTGAGTCACAAAGATTATATGGATTAAGACACTTTTGTATGCATTTATAAGTCTCCTCCAAAAAGAATGACTGTATGTCAGGATATGCTGCTTCCCCCTCCACCCAGGCACGCAACCTTGGAGTAATATTTGACCCCACCCTCTCCCTTGAGCCCCACATCCGCCAAGTTGTTAAAATCTCATTTTTCCACCTCCGCAATATTGCCAAACTCCGTCCCTCTCTCACCCGCCCCGCAGCTGAGCGACACATTCACGCCTTCATCTCCTCCCGCCTTGACTACTGCAACTCACTCCTCTACGGCATCAGCACCACATCCCTCAGTAGACTCCAGCGTGTCCAGAACGCAGCCGCCAGACTCCTCACCCACACCAAATCATGGCATCACATCACCCCGGTCCTCAAAGAACTCCGCTGGCTTCCCCTCTCACACCGCATCCATTACAAACTCCTGGTCCTCACTTACAAAGCCCTCAACCATCTTATCTGCCCCCTACCTCACTGATCTCCTCATCCTCTACCAACCCCCCCGGTCCCTCAGATCCACCTCCGCCGGTTTGCTTTCCACCCCCAAGGCCAAACTCCGGAGCTTTGGGGACAGAGCCTTCTCTGTGGCAGCCCCCAAGACCTCCGTGAGTCTGAGTCCCTCACCCTGTCCCAGTCCCGCCTCAAGACTCTTCAACTCTGTATATCCATAAGCCACCCCCCGCCCCCCCTCAATCAACTTCCTCATGACTACCCTTTCTGTTTACCTTATTTGATTTGTTTTATTCATTTATTATGATCTTTTGTTTTGTTTTGTTGTTTTTGCCTGTCCTTGTTTGTCTACCCTCCCACCGACTGTAGTGCCTCTTTAAGTTTGGGAGAAGCGCTATATAAATATAGTTTATTATTATGCTACAAACAGCTCAAGTTAAAAGCTCAACTCAAGATCAGTGACAGAATGAGTTGGGAAAGCTAAATGGGGATGTATTTACCTTTAAAACCCCTTGGACTAGATAACTGAAGTAAACAAATAACTTTAAAGGTCATTGAATGTCAGACAGAAACATTGAGGCAGAAAACCTCAGAGGGAAACTGAGCTGTAAAGCTTTGTGTTGAAGGAAAGTCGCATTCCTCTCGCCTTCTATTTTATCTGCACTAAACCTTGCTGGTGGTCCTTAAGTAAATGAAAACAAAAGCAATTTCACCGTTCCACTGCATTAAAAGGGGCACAATGTTAAGTAAATATCCCCCCCTGGTCTGGATTTCTCTTTATCCTTTTCTTAAAGAATGGATACAATGACGCAGAACATCCGTACTGTGTAACAGCAATACTCACTACTCTACTCACTCCTAAAATAAGGTGGAAACTGCGTATTCTCATGAAGGTTTTGCGTACAAAATACGTAATAGGTTGATAATGTACCGTTTGAAAGCTGCTTCACGCCAAGTATTTTCTAAATATGGATGTGATAATTGGTGAGTCGTGACCTAGATTACGTCATTAGTGCATTCATATACACACTTCCACATGCATTGATGATTAATGTTGTTCAATGTGGGGAGGAAATACTTCAATCGATGCTGCACTGACTCCTCTTGATACATGTTTGATTAGATCCTGCCGATACATTAACACCTGTGAGATTGAGTTTCTTGTGTTTGATTGAGATGGATTTTATTTCATGCCAGGTCTGAAAAGGTCTCAGACGACACAAAGGGTGAGGAAGATTTAGAGAGAGAGAGAGAGAGAGAGCGTGATTACCTCTCTGACATTAGGCAGCTCCAGGATGTCAGAGAAGACGTAGAGGCCGGGGGTCTCCAGCAGAGAGCTGACAGCCTGGGCCAGAGCGGGGCCGGACAGAGACAGGAGCTGCTCCACCTCCATCTGAAGACAGAGGACACAGAGAGACACAGAGGTTAGCCGGTTTGTACAATCAATCCAAATGTATCTAAATCGTAATACTGTATAAACTAGTGCAATATCATTGATAAAGATCAAATATGTACAACAAATCTGAATTAAGTATTATAAAATCTCCTTGTTTGGTACACATCCTTTTAAACAAATAGCCTTTCACAAAAAATATATAAGATTTTTAAAACGCATTTCCCCCCATATCATGCGACCTAGAGCAAGTGACACAAAGTACTGAAGAATATCGCATAATAGCAGCAGAGGTGTGTAGAAAGTGTGGATAAAAGTCGAGGTATTTCTAACCACTCAGTCGTCTGAGGAATGGTTACTAGAGAACACCCGGCATAAGCGTTGATGAATACCTAAGAACGGCAAAGCTATATTAACGAACCCTACTGTAGGTCTCCACACGATGTCGAAGTCTTTTTAACCAAATGTATGAACATCGTAATATAGACTAGTGCAATATCACTGGTGAAGGTAAATTATTAAAACATATCCGAATGACGAGTTGTGGAGCTGCTAAGAAATTAAACAGACATAATAAAATCTCCTTGTTTGGTACACATCCTTAAAAAAACAAAACGCTTTTCAATGATAATGTTTCCGATAGATAATTTCCTCTCCATATATCAACACATATCGCAATTGCAGTTTTTGTTCCATATTGTGCAGCCCTATAGCAAGTAACACAAAGTACTGAAGAATATCACATAATAGCAGCAGAGGTGTGTAGAAAGTGTGGATAAAAGTCGAGGTATTTCTAACCACTCAGTCGTCTGAGGAATGGTTACTAGAGAACACCCGTCATAAGCGTTGATGAATACCTAAGAACGGCAAAGCTATATTAATGAACCCTAGGTTTCCACACGATGTAGAAGTCTTTTTATCCTCTCGAAAAACCCAGTCTAGCCACTTGTGGCCAGCTGAAAGGACATAGAATTGAGCGAACAAAACTCCTTTTTTCTTTATACGTCTAACTGTCAAGTGCTCTCGACTGAAGCACTTGACCCACAATTACCGGGAGAGTGGCTCAGATAGCAGAGGAGAAGCTGCACTAGGTAGCAAAAATGCAGGCAACAATCGTAACGACTGCAAAGCAGGGCATGGATATTCATCAAAACCATTTCCCTGAATTGAGACACGATGCTAAAGCACTCCCCAGAATAATGACCTAAGCAGTAACAGGAATCTGCCTATGTCTCGAAAGAAAGCGAATCCCGGAAGAATTAAAAAACAGGACCATTCAGTGATTTGGTCTTTGGCCTGCCTCTGCCTCTGGCTCTGTAATCCACACGTTTCAGAGTGAAACATGATGCAAATACAAAATCACAAACAGAGGATGTCAGTCTGTTTCTACTCATGTGTTCCTTTCTTCAGGTTGAAAAGTGCCAAACTGTCAAATGTTTCAATGTGAGGAGCTGTCCTGTTGCTATTTTAAAATATCTTAATCCCAGTGGACACATCTTGGGACACAGAGGAAGTTCAGTCTTACAGATACATGATACAAGTATTGCAGTTGCATCAGAATGGTTTTATTACCCGAGGCCATCTCTTAAAATGAATGCAGGCGAGTCTGGGTACCAACTGCTGAGCTAAGACTAGTCTGACTGGCTCTTACCGTAGACCAGGGGTATTCAACTCAAATTCAACGAGGTCCAGCTAGAGAAAATCTCCCCATGCAAAAGTCCGGAACATCAAAATGTCTAAGTTGCTTTATGAATTAGTGTGATATATATCCCTTTTTCTTTGTTAACCGTTTCACATCATGACTTAACAGTTTCAGACGATTATAGAACAATATCAGTCTTTACGCATCATAGCAATTGAACAGTTTTAAAGTTTCTCTTTCTTTCCCTCTTATATTGCAGTCCCTCACTCACTTTTTTTTAATTCAGTGCGAGAATTGAGCTGGAGCTTGTCCTGCCAGGAGTTTAAATCTGGGCTGAAATGGTGTCAGGGCCATTCTCATACACATGCAGGTGCTCATTGGTTAGCCTCGGTTAGCCTGCCCTGGAACCATATTTAGTTTGAATGTTGATCCTGGTCGACTGATCATATATTGGGCTCTGAGACTGCTTATTTTGTGTGACCTCAGTTCTGACTTGAGAGGGAATGTTTGGTCAAACACTTTGTGTTTTGTCTCATAGTGGCGTTTTGGCACTTTTAATGAGCGCCACGGTCTCTGAACAAATGAGACACACTGGCTCTGTGATCCCAGTGGGCAGGATGAACATGAATGAGTCCACTCAGGGTTAAAAGCTCTGTTCTCACTTTCCACTTTCCTCTTCTTGGAGAGCGCCATGTGTAATGATGTGTCTCTCTCTGTCTGCCGCTAACACGCCTGTTCACTCTCCTCTCCGCTTCTCTCCCTGTATCACTAATTATTCTCTTCACACTTTCCTCTCCGCCGCGCTCTCATCTCTTCTTCTGTGTTTCTCTCCCTGTATCGCTCACTCGTCTCTTTCGCCCCCTGTCGGCAGCAGTTAAAATAGAATCACCCCGTCAAAATTGAAATCCCCTATTAATGTATTGATTATAGGTCCGGGTCCGTATAGGTCGGACTTCTGGGTCCGGATCCGGACCGCGGTCAGCCTGTTGCCAACCCTTGCCGTAGACCAACTGCTGAGCTAAGACTAGTCTAACTGGCTCTTGCCGTAGACCAACTGCTGAGCTAAGACTAGTCTGAATGGCTCTTACCGTAGTAGACTGTATATTCTAACGCTCTTTCTCATCCCAGTTGGTGCTGAGGGTGTTTTGTAGTATCCTTAAATGTGATACATTCAGTTGCACACATGCACATCTTGTGAGGTGTAAAGAGCTGGAGCCGAACAGATGAGCGGACATGTTGCAGCCAAACAAATTCACCTAGACCATTTCTGAAACAGTACTGCTTTTGATTTCATGCATTTTTAAAAGTCAAATGAGGCCGGATTGGATCCATCCGTGTATTTCTATTGAATTTAAAAGGAGGGCAGACCTGGCTGAGCGAGAGATTGCTGAAAACAAACAAAGTGGCCCTGCTCAATATGCACAATGCAGCTTTCAGGATAAACAGTACCACAGTACCAGTCCAACAACAATTGGAAAAATAATAACAACACTACTAAAATAATACTGCAAATAACAAAGAATAACTCAAAGCATTCCATAGAGAAACAGAAACGCATACCGTCATGCGGTAACAACCTTAGATAATGACAACATTGTTGTTGCTGTACCATTACCACAATTATTGTCAACAATGTTTAATTGTGTACCACGACAACGTAATATCAACAAAAACTAATTGTATAAAGGCTTCTCCTGTACCGTCTCTTATATTTTGCATGTTTCAACTGGCACTATAAACCCCATGCAAAACATTTGGTTTCCTATGTACATTTGGAGGTTTAAAGTGCTTTATAAATAAAGTTGTATTGTATTGTACATTGCCTTGTTTTTTATGCTGCTGCAACGCAAAAAAATCCCAAATTGAGATCAATAAAGTACCTATCTATCTATTCATCTATCTATCCGTCTGTCTATCTATCTATCCATCTATCTATCTATCCATCTATCTATCCGTCTGTCTATCTATCTATCCATCTATCTATCCGTCTGTCTATCTATCTATCCATCTATCTATCCGTCTGTCTATCTATCTATCCATCTATCTATCCATCTATCTATCCGTCTGTCTATCTATCTATCCATCTATCTATCCGTCTGTCTCCATCTATCTATCCATCTATCTATCCGTCTGTCTATCCATCTATCCATCTATCTGTCTATCTATCCATCTATCTATCCATCTATCTATCCGTCTGTCTATCTATCTATCCATCTATCTATCCATCTATCTATCCGTCTGTCTATCTATCTATCCATCTATCTATCCGTCTGTCTATCTATCTATCCATCTATCTATCCGTCTGTCTATCTATCTCTCTATCGATCCATCTATCTGTCCATCTATCTATCTATCCATCTCTCTATCCATCCATCCATCTATCTGTCCATCTATCTATCTATCTCTCTATCCATCCATCTATCTATCCATCCATCTATCTGTCCATCTATCTATCTGTCTATCTATCTATCTGTCCATCTATCTATCTATCTATCTGTCCATCTATCTATCTATCCATCTCTCTATCCATCCATCCATCTATCTATCCATCCATCTGTCCATCTATCTATCTATCTATCTCTCTATCCATCCATCTATCTGTCTATCTATCTCTCTATCCATCCATCTATCTGTCCATCTATCTATCTATCCATCTCTCTATCCATCTATCTATCCATCCATCCATCCATCTATCTATCCATCCATCTATCTGTCCATCTATCTATCTGTCTATCTATCTCTCTATCCATCTATCTGTCCATCTATCTATCCATCCATCTATCCATCTATCTATCTATCTATCTCTCTATCCATCCATCTATCTGTCCATCTATCTATCTATCCATCTCTCTATCCATCTATCTATCCATCTATCCATCTAGGGTTTAGCTTTATTGTTATTTGTACTGTTCATAACAGAATGATAAGTTTCATTGCTACTAGAAGCAAAACGATAAAAGAAATGGTATTTAGTAGCTGAAAGTGTCCCTTGTTGTCCAGTAAAAACTCAATAAAGCAGCTCTCACTTCAGCAGACTCTCAGCTCTAATAAGAAGTGGTTCATCAATCTTTTCCATTATCCTCTTATACCAAAACGGATCTTAAATGGGTCTGAAGATAACTGCAAACCACTGGAGAATAGATTTTAATGAAATGCAACTTGGTGAATCCTTTCGATGCTGAATTTAGCAGTGTCTCAATAGATTTGCAGACAGTTTTTATGATGAGCAAGAGAACTTAGTATTAACTGATCGTACCGTTTTAACTGAATTTATCTCTATAAAACCAAGAGGGGAATTCAACCGGTTAACAACCACAAACAGTGTGAACTCTGCTGTGGATCCATCATAACAAACTCA